TAGCACTGGGAGGTAAAGGACTTGCAAGAAGAGGATGGTGCTGATTGAGATGCAGAAGGTGTTGAAGCTGACTCAGTATGCTGATTTAAGGCAGGCATAGAAGGTGAATATGAGGGAAGTATAGAGGAGGATGAAGTGGATGAGGTACTGATGTTAGGTGATGAGGGGCTGCCACCAGACAAGGAGGCAGATGAAGAAGAGGCGGGTGTAGAAAGCAGAGCTAAAAGTGGAGGATACAGACTTAGGAGAAAATAACTATGGATAAGGAAAACTATACTCATAGAAAATAACATCTTTGGAGATGTAAAGTCTTCCATTAGGAGCAAGACACTTGTATCCTTTGTGATTAGAGGAGTAACCTAGAAAGATGCACTCTTGTGTGTGAAAGTTAAACTTGTGAGGAGAGTAAGGCCTGAGGTGTGGGTAGCAAGCACACCCAAAGGCCTTAAGGAAGGTGTAGTCAAGATGAGCTTGATACAAAAGGGAGTAGGCATCTTGTTGATAAGGTATGAAGCAGTAAGACAAGCATGATCCCAAAATTTTAATGAAAGGTTGGCTTGAGCTAACAAGGTCAGGCCAGTTTCAACGACATGTCTATGTTTTCTCTCTACAGTCCCATTCTGGTGGTGCGTGTGAGGGCATGCCAGTTGGTGAGCAATACCCTTTGTGAGCAAGAGAGATTTAAGTGCTTGAAACTCTCCTCCCCCATCTGTTTGAATAGCTTTTACCCTAGTGGAAAATTGAATCTCAACAGCAGTAATAAAGTGTGTAAGAGTGAGAAGAACATCAGATTTGAGCTTCAGAAGAAACACCCAGGTATATTTGGAATAAGCATCAACACAAGTCAGCAAATATTTGTATCCACATGAAGACAATACAGGGGTAGGACCCCATACATCAGCAAACAACAAATCAACGGGCTAGTGTATAAAGTGTGTGAAAGTGAGCTAGGTAATCTATGGATTTTGCCCAGACAGCAGGGACTGCAAAAATCCAAAACAGATTTGTGTGGTATAGACACTTTGCACAGTTGAAGGATAGTCTTCAAGGCTTCATGAGTAGGGTGCCCCAATCTGTTATGCCACAGAAGGTAAGGAGAGACAGATTGTTGAGCAGAAGATGGTGCTGATGTAGAGACTCCTGCAGCAGGTTGTGTAGAGGCTCCAGTGATATTATTGACTGTTGCTGTTGAGGGAGAATTGAGCTGAATTGAATCAAAGGTATATAGACCATCTTTATTCAGAACACCTTGAAGCATTACGTTAGAATTGACCTGAGTTTTCACAAAGCATTTGTCAGCATGAAACTCAAAAAAGACCTAATTATCCTTGGCAAACTGACTAACAGACATGAGGTTTTTAGTAATAGGAGGAACAAGAGATTCTGAAGTGTAAATTGAGTGTGTGCTAAGTGAGGTGACATAAACCTAGCAGTGCCTATAGAGGTGATAGGCAAACCTTGACCATTACCAAGCAGGACCTGATCAGTTCCAGGTAAGGTGCTACTTTCAGCTAAAAAATCTGCATTACTGGTTACATAATGGGTGGCACCTGAATCTGGATACCAGACCTGAGGTTGCAGAGGTACAGTAGTGACTTCTGAATCTGTGAGATGCGCTTGTGGCTGATAAGAGGGTCTAGGAGAAAACCCTGGAGGAGGTCCTCTTAAAACTGGAGAGAGCCACTGATTCGAGGAAGGAGTAACCATAGTTTGAGGAACCAACCACTGATTTTGTTGTGCAGAAGGTTGAGGGATGCTAGTGTTAGTCCATTGATTCCAGGCTGGCCTAGAGTTAGCAGTTGAATATCCCCATGGAGATTGCATTGGGGTAGGCACGAAATTGGAGTGACGATGATAGCATATACTGGCATCATGACCTGGTTTGTAGCAGATTTGGCACTGCACTCTGAATCTGCCACCTGACCTGCCACCCCCTATGACGACCATAGGACCTACCCCCACGAGAATCAGTAAAATTAGGCACAGTGTTGGATGGAACCATTTGAGAAGGATCATTCTGCACTTGAGGCATAGCCTGTGGAGTAGCAGCTGTTTGAGCAACATTGATAGAGATAGGTTCAGTACGAGAGTTCTTCTTGGACCTTTCTAACTTTGCCTCATGATCAAGTAGCATGGATTCAGCTTCAATAATGGGACAGAGTGTGGCACGATACTGAATAATAGAAGCTAAGGCATTACACTTTTTAGGTAAGCCATCAAGATTTTCCTCAAGTTGACCCCTATGTGAAACAGGTGCATCTATGGAATCCAAAATATCAACAATTCGTTGAATACAAGCTAGATACTCAAAAATGGATTTCTCACCTTTGGTGATGGATTTGAATTCCAAACGCAGTTGACGAGACTTCGCGTTTGTATGAGCGAAGACGAATTTGTGAATCTCATCCCAAATTTGATGAGATTGAACACAGTGCACAACTCTTGGAAGAACAGAACCTGGTAGCGTAGTGAGAAGCCACGAGAACAGAAGCGAATCTTGCTGTTCACACGCAACAAACGCCGGATACTCAGCGTCGTTGGTGCGATCTTCATCGCTCAGGTGCCGAGGCGAAATTTCAGGGTTAACAAGGAGGCGATGAAGCTTGTGAGTGCAAATAATACCTTCGATCTGTTGTTTCCACGTCGAAAGTTTTTTTCGTCAAGCTTGAGGGTGACTTGCTGCGAGAAAGTTTTGAAAATATTCTTCGCATTCCATCGTGCTGCCGTTTGCGTCTCTTGCGTCGTGTTGCCTGCGGTGTTCGCCGAATTCTCATCAGAAGCCATGGCCACAGATCGAACTTAAGCTTTAGATACCATATTAGAAAATAAGAAACTGAAGAGGAGTAGAAGAGAGAATCGTAGCAGAGAGAAAGAGAGAGAAAGTTTGTTATGAACTGAATGATTAGTCTAACTGAAATTAGTTACAAATGAACTAGGGCATGGCTTATATAGTAAGCCCTAACTGTGCTGACTCAGCACAGTTAGTTACAGTGATTACAGCTGTAATATATATTTATTATACAGTACTATTCTAATACTCTAATAATGATATCCTCATAGGTAGCAACAGTGTCGAAGATGTGACAGAGGTGAAGGCTGAACTCAGTAAGGAGTTCGAAATGAAGGATCTTGAAGCTGCCACCAGGATTTTTGGGATTGACATCCGGAGAGATAGAAAGCAGTCGAAGTTGTGCTTATCTCAAGCGACATACCTACGGAAGCTTCTCGAAAAGTTTGGTATGTCGAATTAAAAGCCTGTTGTGACCCCAACAAATCCTCAGTTTAACCTTAGTATTACTCAAAGTCCGAGTACTGAAGCTGAAAGAATCTATATGAGTAATATTCCATCTGCTAGTGTAGTAGGTTCTTTGATGTATGCTATGGTCTGTACGAGGCCAGACATAACGTATGAAGTGAGCCTTGTAAGAAGGTATATGGTCAATCCTGGAAAAGGCGCACTGACAAGCTTTGAAGTGGATTCTCAGGTACATAAATGGGTGTCTGAAAAGAGTCTTGATTTATGGTGGAGCTTGTGGTGATGATAGCAAAGTCAAAATCGAAGGTTTGTCGACTCTGATTATGCAGGTTGTATGGATTCCAGAAAGTCTATTTCTGGATATGTGTTCACTATGTCCGGCATAAAAATCAGTTGGAAAGCAACACTTCAGAAGGTTGTTGCCTTATCAAACACTGAAGCAAAATATATTGCCCTCCCTGAAGTTGTGAAAGAAGCATTGCGGCTTGAAGGTTTTGCAAAGGAGCTGAAACTTCAAGGTCGAAGTATCACTGTTAAATGTGATAGTCAAAGTGCAATACACCTGTCGAAGAACTCAGTCTATCATGAGCGAACAAAGCACATCAATGTGAGGCTGCATTTCGTCAGAGAGATAATCGAGCGTGGTGAAGTCCAAGTGCTGAAGGTTTCGACTGATGACAATGTTGCGATATGATCGCCAAGACATTGGCAAGTTGCAAGTTTTTCCACTGTATGCAGTTGATAACGCTGCATGATGAAAGTTAGTTTATTCCCTGTTGTTTGTAGAGTTGGATCTAAGGTGGAGATTTGTGAGATTTTTGGTTGAACTCTAGCTCTGTCGAGGGATAGCTTTCATGTGTTTCGACAGGAGACAAGATGAAGTCGAAGATGGATCGCATGATGTAGTCGAAGGATACATATTATAGTCGAAGTCTATTCTAATATGTATTGTCGAAATGTTTGTCGAATTGAACCTTGTGTTAAGGATCCAATTGTTTAGTTAGCTTGGGTTACAAGTTATCTAGTTAGTCTATATATAGGTTATATCACTCAGTTTTTTGAGTGAGGCCAATTGTGATATTCATTTGTCATTTGTAATCCCTTATGAGAAAATGAATAGTAAACAATTCGCCCCAACCCTTCTCCTTCTTTCTTTTTTTATCCTTTCTTTTTTCTCTCTTTATTCTATTCTAACTGTTTTTTATTGTTCACCCAAAAACTCCGTTTCTCAATCTTTATTTGTTGAAAGGTATCGTTTGTGATCACAACATTAATATTTCAGATGAAACAAAAATATATGATATCGCAACAGAGGCCTGCAAGATAGCATTTGTATATAATGAAACTGAGATTTCAAATCTCATGATGTTATATGATAGGAACCTGAATCCCACACAGAAAAATAATACAAGAACTTAATGATGGAAGGAAAAAAATGATGTTTTTTATTTGAAATGGGGAAATTACAGTAGAATGACACTCCACTGCCAATGAGCTAAATGCTCTCTGTCTATAACTAACCTAAAATGATTCTCCAAATACTCTCCCATTCTCCCTAACATATTAATATAACAAAATTCATCATACACAAAATCCATGTCCTTTCTCTGCCATGTCAACCTTCTTACCCATATTTTTCCTAACATAAACACCCCACATCATGGGCTTGGCCCGAGGATGTCATTTATTAAAAGAATAATAATGAAGAGAAAGAACCATGCAAAACCAAGGTTTGAATGTATACCAAATTTACAGTACGAGGAATCCGTGCCAATGCAATAACATCAAAGCCAGTGTTATTTTTATAGGTTGAGTTGTACCATATACTGACATTAAGTGTATTCTCATTTGAATTTAGGAAGTCATAACCTGTCAAAACAACATGGAAATAAGTACTTCCTTCAACGAGTTATGTAAATTATAACATTATAATGATATATCTACCTGCAGCTATCTCATTGATCTGCCTCTCTGTGTTACCTTTTCTGTAACCTTTATATAGCTCATTGTTTACCTCAGAGGAACTATTACGCCATAACCGTAAAGCCTGAGCACATCTTAACTCTATACCCAGTGTAAAAAAAACTAGAATTAGTAACAAAGTTCTAGGCATCAAATGCAAGCTTTGAGCATAACCCATCTAGAAAGAAATATGGCAATATGTAAAAAAATGATTTGTACAGTCCATACAAACATATTCTGAATACTCTGTACGAGCAGTTATTTTTCAGAAGACTCTTATCCTTGTCAAAAGTGTTTCTGATGCAACACAAAAGTTACAATTGTAATGTTTTGACATTAAGATGATTGTCAATTTTTCACAGATTCAACTTAATCCTGTTTTGATAGATTAACTTATGGTAATGATATTAGTCACGAACTGAACTTGGTCCTATTTTGAATAGAGTTTAACTTATATAGGATCTTTTCAACTGAGATAAGTATTAGTTCTTATAGCTATTCTTTTTTACTAGAAAAATTCATTTCATTTCGATGGGAATAACTTATGCAACACATGAAGGAACGTAATTCAGACAATGGCAACTAGACATAGATAGGACCACCCGAGCTAATAGATGAGCAACCATATTGACTTGCCACTTTATGGACAACTAAGGATAATATGATTGTACTTTGTTTATACATCAGATTTTGCAGTGTGGACACTGTCTAATGTCAACCTCAAAATAACACAAACATTATTCATAAGTAAATCTTTATACCTATTATTTATACCTTGCTGTATGCTAGTGGTTGATATCTGAATAGGAACGGAGAATGAAGAGTTCTTATTGCACTGACTTTGTAAATAGTAAATGGGAAGATCTGAAAAGAACGCAGGCTCCAGAAAATTGGTGTTCTCTGTCTCTGATGCTGATCCCTATAACATTTTGATATTTTTCCCCGTCATTCGTCTCACATTAAAAGAACATATTAAGAGAAGATATTATTTACACAAAGCCATATTGTTAAATAATTGTTGACTTACCATGACATTTGTTGCCAAACTACCCATAACATCGTTGTTATTTAGAGCAAAAGAACTTGGAATCATATTGCGTGACAAGACTATAAAGGAGAGAAAACAGGATTAAGACATTAAACAACTAAGTAACTTCAAAACAAACCATCAGTTATGCAAAAAAAAAGCTGTAAGTAAAGTAAAAGAAACTTGAAAAGAAGCAATTAGATTGAATAACCACTCATTTTAATCCTTCAAATATCACTCTATGTCTCACTTATTCTATAAAGTCTATCAAAACCCACCTCATTAGTCTTTAAAGCATGTGAAAATATTTTTTTTCTTTGTTTCGACACTTTTCGGATCAATGGTTGACACCCGTAAGACACTCATAACACATATGTCAGACAATTCAGACAAGTATTTCAAACAAAAATTTGTTTTTTTCTTTGCTTCAACACACTTTTATACATATTTTGGACAAATCTCAGACAAATTTAAAATTGTTAAATGTTTATTTAAGCCATGTCATCAATAAAGAATGTTTTCAAATTAATATTTTGGACATTAATTTTGATTAGAATATTTTCAACTTTTTAAATCATAAATGGATAAATAAAGCTGAAATACTCTCGTATATATATAGCAGTGTCGGTGTCCTATGTTTTGACATTATCTGTCAGAATATCTGTGTCTCGTGTCCTGGTGTCCGTGTCAGAGTCCGTGCTTTCTAGTGATTGGATAAACTCTTGCAAAAGTGAGTTGAATAGGAAACTTCACTTTAAAAATCACGTTCATACTCAAAAGCTACAAAACCTAGCTTCAAATAGAATCAATTTTGAAAGGCAGAATCAATTCTACTCGAGACAACCAAACAAGTCAAAAATCAATTCTAACTGCTCCAACTGTGAACCAAACACACACTAAATTGAGAGTTTATTTTATTGAATTAAATTTAACTTTGTTATATACCTTCTCCGAAAGAGTGATTAGTTCCGGTAAAGAGCATAATGAGTGGACATGAACCATTGATTCTGCACAAGGGGTTTGGAAAGTCTGAAAACGGAAGAAAATCAGTTCTAACGGCGCGGTATCGCGGATCAGGGATTTGCAACAACGGAGTCCATTCTATAGGGTTAATAATAGGACAAGCACCAACTTGATCAAAATCCGAAAACTGAACCCCGCATTGATTCTCCAAGCATTGTTCCCCTTGTGTTTTGGTACAAATGCATCCGCACTTAAATTTGGCTTTATCGAATTGATTATTGAGCAGATTTTGGAGTAGAACGAGCAATATACACAAGCCAAATGGGAACAAGATTAGCCTAATGTTTGTCTTCACATTTCGTTTCTGAAAAAGAATAGTATCAAGTTAGAAATTTGTAATTAGAAACGCGTTTGATGAAAGAAGTGAGGGAGATAGAAAAAGTAACCTGGAAGGTTAAGTTCTTTCTCAGAAGCGCGTTTGCTTGAATCCAGAAGCTGGCGGGTTCGTTGGGTCTGTTTCCATTTCTCATGTTTTCTATTTTTTTTGTTCAACTTTTGAAAACTAACTTTCAGTTTAACTATATCATAGCTTGAGTGGAGTGTTTTCCTTTATTTTTCTACAATGTCAACGCTAACTTGCCTTAACTAGACACGCTTGCTCAATTTTTACTCTTCCAATTTTATCCTTCGTTTAATGACTATAATGTCCTTCTGTTCATTACTCATTGTTTATCTGAGAATTTTTTTTAGAATAACGGATGTATTTAATTTAAATACTAAAATAATATCAGTTTTAATTTATTTACCAAAATAGTATATTCAGAATGGATGAACAAGGAGGCGTCATTTCATTTGAAATATGTGTATAAATGAAAGCTTCATGCGCCATTTGATTTGAAGCATACATGTAAGTGTAGACAATTCAAGTGGCGCCTACACACCACTTGTCCTAATTTGGAGTGGCGCATCCTCCCTATTTTTTTTTTGTATTAGGAAAATTATTTAAAATATGTTAAAAATTTAGGAAAAAAATAAAAACAAATAAGAAACAATTAAAAATATTATAAAAATACATTAAAGTTTACAAGAAATAAAAAAAAAAAAAACAATGTCCGATCCGATCAAAACGTCCCCTGGTTCCACATCCTGGCGCATTAGTATGCCTCCGCGGTCTACCACGATTTTGTTGAGGTGTTTGTGGTATTTGCGTATTGGCCTGCAGAAGAGGTATTTAGTGCGAGGGTCCCGGAGTATTTGACAAATTTTCAATCATTTGTCCCCAATAGCCGGGGGGTTGCTGTCAACCGCGCTGATGTAATTTAGTTTCATGTCCATATTTTCGAAGTTGGAACGTAATGGTTAGGTTAGGTGAGGACGGTATGGTTGGCCAAATTGGTACATTGAATCGTTTTGGAAACGATGCAATGGCTGTTGTGGGGTAAGGTAGTCAAATAGTGGTTGGGTGTTTTAGTGGTAGGATGTTTGTGTGTTCATTTGTGGGGGCAATGGTGAGTTGGGGTGGAGTCGAATGAGTCATTGGGACTATAGGCAGATGTGGTGTCAGTGTGTGGATGTTGGCGGTAAGGGTCAGGCTCATGTTATTATGACTGGGTGAGTGGCATGAATGGGTTGCAGGCTTGGAAGTTTGATTAGGTGGGTAGATATTATTGTTGGGTGTGGTGCGGGGGTGGCATGAATGCATGCAAGACAATAGTGTAGCAAAATAGTAAGTAAATAATGTAAGAAAAAAAGTAACAAATTCGTGTAGTGCATGAAAGACTTGTCTTTACCACACTATCTTGTAGGCATGTGAATCTATTTACCACATTATCTTATCTTGTAAGACTAGGAGACAAGACTATCTTGTAGGCATGTGAATCTTAGTAATGCATGCAAGACAATAGTGTAAAAAAATAGTAAGAGAATAGTGTAAAAAAATTATCAAATTCGTGTAATGCATGTTGTTGCACCCCAAAATTTGCCCAACCTTTTTTCTTTACCTAGCTTATGTTTCATTGCATTTCATATGGCATTAGCATTTTGCATAGCATTGGTTCTCGAGGCAGGGGATCAAGGTTTTCCTGTGGCTCGGAATTCTTTTTTAGCACGAGAGACCGCAAGCATAAGAGGAGACGACATTTATTTTGCCCAGCGGTCGAGCGCCCGATTTTATTTTGCAGGTTATGCTCAGATCAGGAAGCAACATTCAGTCTATATCCAGCATTATCACAGTCACAGTATTCAAGAGCAAGTGTCAAAAGCTCAGCAGAGCTCAAAACGGCGAGAAACAGGCAAACAGGCAGGTTTCCCACCAAAAGGCGCCAAATTCAAAATTTTGAAGGTGTTAATCGGTTAACACATATGGTTAACCGATTAACCATTGGTGAATCAGCTCAAATTTGAAATTTTAACAGTGTTAACTGGTTAACGCATATGGTTAACTGGTTAACCATAGCAGATTTTGCCCTGTACGTGATTTTGCAAGCCCTTGGCACTTGGGGTCCAATTTTGATCACCTTGAAACTCATTTTTACCAAAAAGAAGGATCTAGAATGTTCTTGAAAGTTGGTTATTTCAATTTTCCCTCTAAATTCCCATGCCTAGCTCCAAACCAACTTTCCAATCCAAAGTCCAAACCCCACCTTTGGGATCCAAACCTAGATGGTATTTAAGTGATCTACTCCAAACCAAAAGGAGCCAATTCTCATTTCTCACATCCATTTTCAGAATTGATCAGAATTTTCTCTCAAATTCTCTCAACTTCTCCATTTCCAAAACCTACACTCAAAGCTCTTTTTCATTAGGATTCATTGGTTTTTCATTGAAATCAATGGATTCTTGAGCATAAGCCTTCATCCATCCTCATCTTTGGATCCATTTTCATTATCAATTTTCGTTCAAATTGAGATCTGATTTTGGAGCTTGAGTTGGAAGTGATTATTCGAAGCCTTTCGACTCAAATTTGGTGGATCTTCGTTCGTACAACCACAATTGGCTTGGATCTCGAAGTTTTCCAGATTTCTAGCGTTTGAACTACTCAATTACAGCAAGATCAACACTAACCGGAGCAAATCTCCGCTTCGAAGGTTGGAGATTCTAGATCCATAACTGTTTTTGAGCTTATTTGCATTTACATGATGATTTTTCATATTCGATTGAATTTTGGTGGATTTCGATCCGTGTGAATTGCGATTGTGTTGTATAGATATGTTTGCATGTCTATTGGTTTTCTGTTTGCAGGTGTAATTTCGTGCTTATTTGATAAGTTGATCTGTTGGATCACTTGATTAAGTGATTTTGTGCATTAAGTGATTTTCTGTTTGTTGTTTTTGGCTTCTGGTACAGTGTTAACCGGTTAACGTATATGGTTAACCGGTTAACCAATTCAAATATTCAAAATTTTCAAAGATTTCAGGGTGTTAACCGGTTAACGCCTGATGTTAACCGGTTAACGCCTGATGTTAACCAGTTAACGCCTGATGTTAACCGGTTAAAGCCTGGTGTTAACCGATTAACACCTACGAATTTCCAGATTTTCACTTGTTTTACATAGGTTAACCGATTAACAGTATGTGTTAACCGATTAACACTGCACCAGAATGCCATGTTTGCTGTTTTGTTTGCATGTTCGCATACCGATTCGATTCGAATCATCATAGATCAATGTGATGCATTAGGATATAATTGTTTTGGCTAATTGTCAATGTTTGTGGTTGATTAATCATGATGTTGTGGACTTGTATGATCATTCTTCCATTTGTTTGCATGCTAATGTAGGTGGTTCGAATCGATCATTCGTTTGCATATTTGCTTGCTTTCATCTCTCGCTTTTCTCCACATGTTTGCATCATTCTTGCATCGCTGTTGAGGTCGAGACGCGCTTGTGGCGGCTGTTGCGCCACACATTTTTTCCTCCCTCCCACCATTCTAATTGTGCATTTTCATGTTTGCATTTCTCTACTTGTGATTGATTCTTCCTTTGTTCTTATTGTGCTTTCTTGCCATGATCCCCATAGGATTCCTAGTCCCTCCGTTTAGGATGGGAGTAGAAGAGACATTAGGCGCTCAATCCAAGTATGCTAACACTAGGGTAGATGTTTCCTCTTTTTCAATCCAAACTTTAGGATCACTTTGCATGACACGTTAGGGCCGAGTTTCCCTTAGACCTTCCGTGCGTCTTCTCTTCTCATCTTCATACAATCGTAACACACTTAATAACGATAATGGATATTGTGCCATGAGCCTTATACTTGGGAAATGGTGATTGAGGGGTTTCTCCTCAATTACCTAGAGTGTTTAGTATACGTCCTTAGGACGATATGCGACGCATTCGATCCTAGGTTCTAGACTTTAGTACAACATTCATTATAAACACTCAAATTCAAAACACTTCTTCTCTAAAAAACATAAAACAAATTCAAACCTTTTTCCTTCGGGATTAATCAAACTTATTTTTCAGAAAAGAGTGTTGTTAAACTTCGGTTCTACCGCAAACAGGCTTTGTCCCTAACTGCTGGAACATATGTTTAACCCTACTCGGATAAAACACTTAATCAAATTGTGGTTTCGTGTCCGCCCGAACTACGTTTGCTCTGATCTTTCATACCAGATGAAAGTACGTAGGCACAAGATGCGATATCTTTACGAGCAACCTTCCCCCTTCTCTCCCGTAGTTAGCCGAACTACGTCGAATCGGACTTTCCCATTGCACGAGGGAATATGTAGGCCCAGAGCTGCGACGCTCTGCCGAGTCTCTTTTCTTTTTCTTTTCGTCCCTGAGGCCTGTAGCGTAGATAAATAAACAACCCTTTTAGATAGCAAATAAGTGTGGATCTCGTTGAGTACGACGAACGTGAGGGGTGCTAATACCTTCCCCTTGCGTAACCGACTCTTGAACCCGAGATTTGGTTGCGATGACCTTGTCTTTCCCTTTTTCGCTAGGTTTTTTTGATCGTTTCCTTTCCCTCTCTTTGGGATAAATAACGAAAGGTGGCGACTCTTCTGTTTTCCGCCGGTTGTTTTTCGCAGTTGCGACAGCTGACGACTCTGCTGGGGACTATGGTTCCCTGTGCGAGTCAATCCTAGCGCTTGGTTGTTTATCTTTTTGGGTTTTGTACATACGTGTTGTACTTTATTTACTTCCGCACTTTACTTTCCCGCATGTTATTTTCAGCATATATTATCATTATTGTGCTGTTGTGGGGAAGGAAGTTCTGATGAGTGAAAAGCCAGACCCAGGCTTGAGAGAAAACATAGCATTAAAGTGGAGATTAGTGGAGGACCTGTTTGCTTAGCAAACACCAATTCCCATGAAATTCACACTCAGACGAGATCCTCTTTGATGATTTCTTTTCTGGTCCTTAGGATTGGAACTGATTTTGGATTTGAGGATTGTCGACTCTGGGGACCGATCATTTGTGACTCAGCTAAGTGAGACCTCTTCAGGGAGTGATGATGTCGAACCAGAAATAGTGAACGTATCATAATTTCATGAAAGTCTGTGACACTGAGGAACACATAGGATGTCATA